CCTGCGATAAATTTATCCAAAATTAATTTTTTGACCACAAAAAATTCAAAACTGGTACACTTATGACAAATGTACTTTCCGTTAGTTTTCGTTAAATTTTACCATTAAATTGCTGAGTTAAATGACATTGGCAGTTGACGGATGTACCAGTTTAGGTTTTTACCCTCCGTTTGTCATGGGTGTACTAGTTCATGGCTTTTTCTATATTAATCCAATTTAACGGATGGTAAATTTGTCACAAATGTACCGGTTTGGAGTTTTTGATAATTAAAAAATTAGTTTAAAGTAAATTTGTCACAGATATACTAGTTTGAAATTTTTTGTGATATTAAATCGTAAATTATTTAATATTTTACTGTTCATGTATCTACTGTTACCTTTGAAATCAATCAATCATAAGCCAGCAACGCACCTTAAAAAAGGAGAAAGAAAGATAGTCCTAGGAAACTTTCATCCGAAGAATATGACATCACCATACTAAAGGGGAAAAAAAAACTATAGTTGCATCTGATGCAGATAGTTATCAAGCCATCCTTTTTAGCAAAAAAAAAAAGCCATTCTTTTTTTTAAAATTTTTACATCACACACACACTCATTTTAAATAAACTGCAATTTTGAAAGCTTTTTTGATGTCTTTTTGTATGCTTTTTAACTTTAAGAACTCTCCTTTTTTTTTTCTATGCTTAGCTTTTATGAAAATGTTAGGCAACATTGGACATTCGCTTTTTGCAAAAGAAGAGGTGGTTCCGGTAGAAAAAATTGAAGATATAGCAAATCGGTCCGTCGGGAGGATTTCTTTCGTTGAAGGTTCGTAGCTGTTTGCAGACGAGTGGTTTTACTTTCTTTTTTTTCTTTTTTGGTCGGAAGAGTAATTTTAATTTCAATCGTTTTCTTTTTCTCCCCGAGTTTGAAATTTGAATTTTTGTTCATCGTCAAACTGCAAAAAAACCTTTAAAACCATACTAGATATCACGGGCTACCGGTTGCGGGCCGAGCAAATTCCAAAAAAAAAATATCTAGAACCTACCCTGTTAGAGTCTTCTCCCTATTTTTGAAATCGCGTTCGGTTTCCTTTAAGAACGGGCATGGATCCAATCGGCCGGTTGCAGGTCAACTCAGGGAGCAGACCTTAGAGTAATATAACTATTATTAAACAATTTGCAGTATAGCGATCCGATTAAGGCATTGATGGATTTTCTACACTTCTCGCGTACGAAAGCCGGTTCCCCTATTTTTTGCCTAAGGAACGTTTTGGGTTTAACCGGCTTGGTTGCTCATCCCTATTAAATATCGAGCTATTTATAATTGGGTTAATACCACGAAAAACCAAAAACTATCAAATTTATCTCAAACTAATTTTTTGACCACTAAAAACCCCAAACTGGTACACCTGTGACAAAAATGCCAAAAACTAATTTTTTGACCACCAAGAACCCCAAACTGGTACAATTGTGATAAATTTACCCTACATTAAATTGGATTAATACCACGAAAAATCACAACCTGGTAAATAGAGGGGCAAAACCCTAAACTGACTTACCCATCAATTGCCACGTGTCATCTAACTTAGCAATTTGAAAGTAAAATTTAACGGAAACTAATGGAGAGTAAAATTGTCACAGGTGTATCAGTTTTGGGTTTTTTATGATCAAAAAATTAGTTTGGGGTAAATTTGTCATGGGTGTACCAATTTGAGTTTTTTGGTGGTATTATCCCCTTTATGATTTCTACAAGCTTGTGTCATGGGCCGATAGTTTGGGAACGACCCGTGCGGCGACTTAGGCTTCCTTGGATCGTTGGAATGCCTAGGCCAAGCGTTTTTCCGATCGCTCACTCGCTCAGACACTCGGATCGTAGAGAGAGAATCTAGAGAGAGAAGCTCTAGGAGAGAAAGGAAATGCTTCTTGTTGTTTTGGATGATTCAAATGAGGAGGAGGACACCCATTTATATAGTAGAGGGCTTCGGATTACAACCATTGATCGATTTCTAGACGAGTGGCCGAGATCGTATCGTTCTCGTCGACCACCTACCGACATTTATTCCGAGAGCTATCAACTATCGGCATTTATGCCGAGAACTCTTTAGAACCCCGGCACAATTACTGTCTCGCCCGTCCTTGGGAAAATTTCGGAAGCTCCATTGGGTTTTGGACGGGTCTTCGTCGATGTGTCACGGTCCTTGGTGTTAGAAAACCTCTTGACCGTGACATTCTCCCCCACCCATTCGAACGACGTCCTCGGCGCTCTTGGCTTGGGGTTGTTTGTTGGCTTCTTGGAGCGCTTTCGACTCTTCCGAGATTTCTTGGCCTTTAGCTTCTCGGTTTGTCGGGTATTTGGCTCCTTTGGTTTGGCTTCCTCCATGTTGGTCGGCAAGTTTGTCACCTGCGGGAATAGGACATGGATCAGCATGTTGTGTTGAAGGGGATGATCCACCTTCGGCTTTGGCTCGGTGCGGAGTTCGGGCACGGATTTCTCAACTCTTAGTTCCTTGTTTATTCGTCGGATCGTGGAGAGGACTTTGGCTTCGGTCACTCCAGTAATCATTGGAATCATGGATGGGCACTCCGAGTCGGTGATGATGATCATGTTGCTCCTCAGGTCTATCATGGCTCTCGCGGCATCGAAAAATTCCATGCCTAGAATGAGATCATAGTCGTTGAGAGGAATTACCTCGAACGGGAGTTTGCCTTCCCAAGTACCGACTTGGAGTTCCACATCTTTGGCCACGCCTACGCCTGGTGTCTCTTCAGAATTGGGGGTCTTATAACGATTACGAGTTGGTTCCACGTGAAGTCCCAAGTGTTTGGCCGCTTCATTTGACAAAAACAAGCTCGTAGCACCCGTATCGACCAAGGCAAGGAGGGGTACGCCACGTACCTTGACCTCAACGAATGAGAGGTGCGAATGTGCCGGCTTCTCCTTTGGCGGAGCTTTGTCCTTTACGGAGTTGATTGAGTTGAAAACCTTCGCGGTCCCAAGTCGCACCTCGCATTTCTCCTTTTCTTGCTTCGGCTCTTCATCCTCTTCTACGGCAAGAATGGCATTGATCCTACTCTTCTTCGGGCACTTTTGTGTCCAATGAGGACCGTTGCAAATGAAGCACGGAGACGGTGGTGGAGTATCAAACTTGCTCTTGTAGTCTCCTTGGGGTCGATTCCACTTGGGATTGCTTGACTTGGACGTTCCTTCCCCCCATGTCTTCTCACGTCCACCATGGTCTGTTCGGCCACGGTTGGGACTACTATCCGAGTCCTTTTGGCCACGGACAGCTTGGTCTTCTTCTTCATCATGGTGGCGATCCGATCTCCACTTGCTCCCTCTTGTCTTTGGGGCCTCCTTGGTGAAGTCGGCGAGAGACTCGGCCACGACTAGTGCCCACGGCTTCAATCCATCCATGAACGCCCCGAGAGCCTCCTCCTCCCCAAGGTTGGGAATTTGGAGTTTGAGCTCGGTGAATTCCTTCACGTACACTCGGACCGTGCCTCGTTGCTCAAGGCGATAAAGCTTGCTACAGGCTTCTTGTTGAGCATACTCGGGGAAGAAATAGTCCTGAAACTTCTCGACAAATCCATCCCAAGTAGTGATGGGATCGGCGCCTCGCTTTGTCTCATCACATCTATTTCGCCACCAAAGCATGGCATTATCGACTAGGAACATAGAAGCGGTTCGTACCTTGGCCAAGTCTTCTTGGATTCCAATAGCGTCGAAGTATTGTCCCATGCTCCATAGGAAGTTGTCCACCTCTTTGGCGGACCGGTTGCCTTTGAATTCTTTCGGCTTTGGCACATCTAGCTTGTGTGCCGCTTGGATGGGCAATGCACCGTTTGCGATGCTTGCTTTGCATAGGACGAGCTCGGTCTTGAGCTCTTGCACCTCCATCTTCAAAGCTTCGACTTCGGCCTTGGAGGAGTTGCCTTCTTTGAGCTCCACGACTTCAAGCTTTAGAGCCTCGATGGATGCTTCGAGGACATCATCCCTATCGAACAAGGGGGCTGTTGTGCGATTGACGACGTTTGTGAATTCGTGGCGGAGAGTTTCTTCAACCTCGTTGATCCACCCTTTAACTTTATCGAGTTCTTCGATGAATTCCAACATAGTTGTTCTCATTCTCGTGAGCTTCTCCTCGACCACTGCTACGGCGTCCGACGAAGCATCCCTTTTCTTGGATTTTCCACGAGTCTTTGGTTGGGCAGCTGGCTTGTTGGGAACCGGTTCATTGGGAGCTCTTTCATCCACAACAACTGAAGCGAGTTGTTCTTGGTTCGACATTCTCTCGACCGATTGGTGTGCTCCTCGATCTCCTTGGATGGACTCTCTACTTTCTCTGATACCACTTGTCACGGGCCGATAGTTTGGGAACGACCCGTGCGGCGACTTAGGCTTCCTTGGATCGTTGGAATGCCTAGGCCAAGCCTTTTTCCGATCGCTCACTCACTCGGACACTCGGATCGTAGAGAGTGAATCTAGAGAGAGAAGCTCTAGGAGAGAAAGGAAATGCTTCTTGTTGTTTTGGATGATTCAAATGAGGAGAACACCCATTTATATAGTAGAGGGCCTCGGATTACGACTATTGATCGACTTCTAGATGAGTGGCCGAGATCGTATCGTTCTCATCGACCACTTACCGACATTTATTCCGAGAGCTATCAACTACCGGCATTTATGCCGAGAACTCTTTAGAACCCCGGCACAATTACCATCTCGCCCGTTCTTGGGAAAATTCCGGAAGCTCCATTGGGTTTTGGACGGGTCTTCGTCGATGTGTCACGGTCCTTAGTGTTAGAAAACCTCTTCACCGTGACACTTGTCTACAATTTGTTTTTCCAAAAGTGTTGAAAAAAAAACAAAAATTTTAAAGGAAAAAAGAAACTTTTTCCACGGGCTACGACCAAGAAGGCCATGGCCCATAAGTCTTCTTCACTCTAACGGGCCCAAGACCAAAAACCGCTCGATACGACGACGTCTGGGACCGAAACGACACCTGCTGACACAGCCTCCTTCGTCGTCACCGCCGTCGTCGTGGCCGTCGTCGTCATCATCTTCTTCTCCTTCTTCTTCCTGGAAAACCCTAGGGAGCGTCCCCGATCATGCTCCGACGATGAACCACCGGTGCCCCGTCAGGGCACTCTCTCGCGCCCTATCGCGAGCCCTGACTACTGCAACGACGGCGGCGGCGTCGCAAGCACCGACGCCCTCGACTTTCCCGCTCAAGAACGTGACCAGGTCCAACTTCGAGCCCGCGCTCGAGTCCCTGAGGGACCATGTCAGGGCGGCGGACTTCGTGGCGGTCGACCTCGAGATGACCGGGGTCACGAGCGCCCCGTGGCGGGAGTCGTTCGAGTTCGACCGCTACGACGTCAGGTACCTGAAGGTCAAGGATTCGGCCGAGAAGTTCGCCGTCGTCCAGTTCGGCGTGTGTCCCTTCCGCTGGGATCCGCAGGAGCTCTGCTTTGTCGCTTACCCGTGAGTTTCTCTGTTCTTCGCATTTTTTGTGTCCCTCTGGACGAGGGATTGGAATTGAAGGGCTGCCATTGGTTTTTTATCGAGCTGATTCAAGTGATGGGGTAGTTGAAATTGTCGTCACCTTTCGGTAAAATCAGGGCAGGCTTTTCAGGATTCATTCTTTCTCGCCTGCGAAATCTGACTCTGGTTCATAAGTCCCTCGAGTGACTCAGTGGCAATCTTGCAGGCACAATTTCTATATTTTCCCTCGGCAAGAGTTGTCATTTGATGACCCAGCAGCTTATGAATTCCACTGCCAGACTGCCTCAGTCGACTTCTTGGCGAAATACCAGTTCGATTTCAACATGTGCATACGGGAAGGTAAACGCGTCTAAATTTTCTTCACAGAGGTTGCTCTGAATGCTTTGGATAGTGTTCGTGATGATATGAGCATAAGTTCATGTGATACGGTAGCTCTGAGGAACATATAGACTTGTTTTGGGTTTTTAGTAACTAGACCTGCGGTTGCAGTCAAGTGTTGCTGGCCTTAATCATTAAAGTTTAATCGGTGATTGCCTGATTGGGTATCTTCAGGGAGTTTTGATTGATGAACCAAAAGGAATTTGTGAATTTTGATTGTTGTTTAGGTAGCTAAATTCAAGCAATTCAATTATCTTGAGGCTGAACTACAATTTTTTTGTTGAACTTGATAAATAAGGAATTGGGATGTGATTGTGTTCTGGATAGTTGTTTCATCGATAGATTTCGTTGTGTTCTTGCCCAATCCAAAGCATTCACTTGATATAGACACGTGCAGTCTTAAATCTGGAAATTCACAATGTTAAATAATCTCAGGAATATCTTATTTATCCAGAGAACAAGAAAATGAGCTGCTGAGACATCTGGAGGAGTCATCATGTTCCCGGCTTAAACATAAGGAATTCAGAGATGTACCTTTGATCAGCATGGCAGATGTTCTCTTCAGTGAGAGAATAAAGAACCGAATGAAGAAATGGCGTGATGAGTTGTTACATGACAGAAATTGTGAAATACAGTTCAGTGAGAGCTCAAATGACTCAAAACAGCAAATTCAAACCATTTTCTATAGAGCGCGCCCTGCTCTTGCCCTTAGTGGGTTCACCGCGCATCAGCTCAGGTTGATTCAGCAGGTAATCCCGTTCTCTGGTATTTAGTTTCCTTTTTCAGTTTCTGGTTTGGAGACAGTGATTTCTCTTATGTTGTATATTTGTATTTGAAAGAAAGAGGCTGGTCTCCTTGCTTATTAGTTTCTCTGATCAGTGTTATGGCAGTCATTTAGAGGCCTTTTTTTAGGCTTATGAGCCACCAAATAAGTAATATTTTAACTTTTAAGATTTATGAATTTGGGATAACTTGTCATGCTGATATGATGTGTTTGTAATAATTTGGAGTGTTTGACATCATATGAAAGTCCAGTTTCAAACTGTAAAAGTCGAGGAAGTATCCAATATCTAAAAGCAGAAGGCATGCCAAAAACAACTGCCATATTGATATTTGGTACTGTTGTGAAAGAGCCTCGCTGTTCTATCGTCTGCTAATATCCTTACCGGCTTGCAAGAAGTGGTTTGGGTCACCTTTAGCTCTTTTGTCTCACTGATGTTCCTGGAAGGAGAAAGAGATTGGGAAGGATGGAGGGTCCTTTGCGAAAAGTCTGCAATGAAGTCATGGTAACTTGGCTTGGCAAACATAGAAAAGTTCGTCCAAGGACCTCTGCAGGCCTGCCAATGTAGTTGATAATAATACTGAATTTACTGACAATGTTTTGATTGAAACATTTGCGATAACATTGATTGCAGATCATTCCTTAGAGGGTCAAACTTTTTTATTAGCTAAAGTATCTTTGAGTGCTAGAATGTGCCTGCAAGATTTACTCTTTTCAAATTTTTTTTTTCACTTGAGGTGAACTGGAGTTATAGATGTTTAGACTTTCATCTTCATTAATTACGATTGATATACTTCATATCGGTGAGCTCAGCACTAATTGCTGATAAAGGTTGAAACTTGCAGGTTACAAGAAATCACTTTGAAGATATTGTATATGTTTGTGCGAATGTTCAAAACTCTTGTCTCCAACTGTTGCTTGTGTATAGCGACTGCAACACCGATAAGGACCTTCTAATGGTAAGACAAATGCAAATGGAAAAGTTGTGCGGATAGTATTTTTCTTTAAATCTTTAATGAATAATTTTATACCACTGAAATGGGTAAAGAGGGTACTTCTTCAGTGTCTGTATCTGTCTGTTTAATTTCCTTCATTTTTCCAATAGCCTCAAATTTTTATCTCCAACAGTTTAGCTGAATTGAAATCTTATCTGATGGCTGGATTGAAATGATCAATGACAACAATAACCAGACCATGAACTTTGAAGCACCTGTTGTTTTGCATTTTATGCTGGATGTTCTGTAAAGGGCAAAGCAGCATTTCAGAAACGAGTTGTTAATTATGTGCTCAGAGAGGAGATGAATACATAATAATATCCCATGTAATTTAGATGTGTTTCGCTTGCCCCAATAACCTACAGATATCTTTTGTAGAAAGAGGTGGACGATGAGAACTGCAGAGGAGAAGAGTTAAAGATTCGTTCGGCAGTTGGATTTCGTCATGTTATTGACCTTTTATCTTCCGAGCAGAAATTGATTGTTGGTCATAATTGCTTTCTTGGTATGATGCCGAGAGCTTAGCTTTCCATTGATTAGTTATATATCATCTGAAGCTCATTGTTTTTATAATGCAGATGTTGCCCATATATATAGGAAATTCTTTGGTCAGCTTCCCTTCGCTGCAGAAGAGTTTGTCTCTTCTGCTAACAAGCACCTCCCATATATCATTGACACCAAAGTTCTTTTGAATTCAAGTGACATACTTAAGTACTGGATGAGGAAGTCTAAAACATCTCTGTCCTCATCATTTGTCAGATTGTGCCCTCAAATTGCTCTAGGTTACATGAGTACCGATTTGGCTTCAAAAACTTGCGTGAGAGTGGAGGTTCAAGTAGATGATGTGAGGTTGAATTCCCTTATCTCTTCATTCTTGACTTGTACTTTCTTTTCACTGTTTATTGTTTGTTTGCTTTTGATCATTTCACAACAGATGTCAGTAAAAATGATACTTGATGGGGCATCTAATTAGAAATTTAGATGAATGTTATACGTACTTACCGATAGATACATCTTTATAGTGATGGTAGAACATTTCAGTCGGACCTTACGCGTCAGTATTGATCTAGAAGAGATAATTCAGACACGCTTACAATTCAGCTTCAATCCTTTCTCAAAGATGGAGAAGAAAGAAAAGAAAGAGGGGATGGCTGGAGAGAGTGAAAAAGCACCAATTGATATGTATTTATATACTACAAGCGTGGCAAATGCTGAGTCATGATTGTCTCCAGGCTTGTGCTCTTCTTACAAGAGCAAGGCCTGGAGATGTTTGGAGGAGTTAGACAAATTTATCAATCTAGTTTTCGTATTTAGCCAATGTAATCTATATGATCACGGGATTGTTTCTCTGTTGCATACTTTTTATAGGTTATATGCTGATTTACTAAATTCAGCATATCTAGGTGTTTTCCCCCTTCATATCCGATTCTTTGTGCTTTATTTCGCATGTGCCCATTAGGTATCGGGTCAAACCACATAGTTATGAGGATGATATGATAGAGCATTGTTGGGTTTCATTAGTTTTTTGTCCAGCTGTGGTTAGTTACTTCAAGTTGATTACGGAAATGGACGTAGTGGTGATATTCTTCTTAGCTCAGATCCATAATTATGCGTGTGATTTTTGACTGTCAATGCATGCATTAATTCCCTTTTTTCCCGGCTAATTCTTTCGTAGATTATATCTTTGGCGGATTTGTTTAAAATAATTCTTTTATTTATAATCACAGGGCCTCCAGCTGGGATGCCGGGGCCAAGCATGAGGCAGGGTATGATGCTTTCATGACTGGTTGTGTCTTTGCACAGGCATGCTCTCATCTCGGCATTAAGTTCCATCCTCGTTCTTCTTCCGAAATTTTGGCACGTGATGAAACGCTTGAGAAATATGTCAATCGTCTGTTTCTCAGTTGGAACAATCAAGACATTATTAACTTAAGCACCGGCAGTGTGACTGAGAATTCTGTTGGATCAACTTACTGCAAGAACCGATACTCGAGAATTTTGTTTGAGAACATTATCTTGATTTGGGGATTCCCACCCAAACTCAAGGCAAGGGAGATAAAGGAATGCATCTCCAAAGTTTTTGGCCCAACCTCTGTTACTTCTGTCTACTCTTTGGATAAAACTACAGTTTTCGTTCAATTCAAGGAGCCAGAGTCGGTCTCTGATTTTCTGGGCTTGAAAGAAACTTTAGAGAGAAATGATGATGCAATCTCCATTCTGAATCCTTTATGGAGACTGTTGGAGGGAGGAAACACTTGTGCGGCTGATTATGAGACGTACAAAGAAATTTGCAGCTCCCCTGTATCTAAGGTCTATTTTTCAGATCAGGCGAGGGCAGTTGGGATTAAATGGAAGACCAAATTGCTCAATTCTGAAGTGCCGGGGGAGGAAGGGATCCAAAAACAAGGTGATACAAATTTGAGCCTAGAAAGTGCAGCAGGGGATTATGTTTTGGATAAAACCAACGTGAAGAGCAAAAAGAGCGCATCAGACGATATGAACCGTCGGAGTTTCTCATGTGGGGAGATCCTTGATTCTCTTTGCGCCCACGAAGTCGAGCGGGTTAGGACTTACTAATTCCTGATCAAGCAGAGGGTCTAAGTTTCAATTCATTCCCGCTTCAACTCGAAATTTGCTTTTCCATACTGATTATCTTGTTGTAACACTGATCTGAGCGCCCTTCCGTTCATGGTCAAGGGCATTAGTTCTTCTGTTTCGGTAATTATCATTGCGCCGTGATCATCTTTGAGAATGTAGGGATAAAAAATCGAAGCCCCTATCATCGAAGGGAGGATCAAGTACTCCTCGCTTCTTTGTAATACCTCTTAAAGTCAGAATTCCGCGCAGACCCATGAGTCCTTTAATTCCATTTTGCAACATCACACCTTCAGTGGACTTGAGCAAACATTTGGCAGAAAAACCACATGGAAAGAGTGAAGGTTCTTGTGTGACCTCGAGCTATGATTTCTCTTTGTTATGGCAAGATATTCTACGAAAATTCCTAGGTTGTCATGTGTTGTTATAGGTAGAAATTACGATGTATTTTCAACCGAATACGAGAGCATGCAACGTTGCTCTACTTCTTGATAGTTGAGTTCCAAAATTAGATCCCCGGAATTGAATTGATTCCACTCTCCATACTTGAAGTATGGGACCACCTGCTTTCTGATCATCTTGTAATTTCCCAAAAAGAAGAAAAAAAGAAGGAAGAAGAAGCAGAATCATTACCCTAAAATGTAGCATCGAGCAGCCGACGACTCAGCGCATGACCTCAGCTTTGACCGTTCCAAATCGACCCCTATCTTCGCTCCGTGCGTCCCACGTGTCACGATCGACGGCCACGGGCCGAGGTGATCCCCCCCCCGACTCTCTCTCTCGTTCTTTGTCACGCGTGAGCAAGGCGGCAACACACCGCATCATCAGGTGTACCGTTCGGGGCCCACCGACGATAGCCGGTCGCGTCCCCATACCTTCAGCCCCCATGCACGTCTCCGGGTTCCACCATTTATGGCCCCTGCTTCCCCCAAAACGGGGTCATCGTCACTCGGTCGTGCACGTTCCAGCGCACGGCCGGAAATGGCAAACCCAGTAATGGAGACAGCGAAAGGGTTCGGCCATGTTTGGCACAATCTCTGCCGGTCAGAAACCTCCAAGGAGAGAGCATGAGGGGGCCAGTCCTGGGCCCCTGCAGCCGGTCGCCGACCCCCCTCCACCGGCTACCGCCGGTGACCGGGCGTCTCATTAAGGACGCGGTCGTCATGTGGACTGTTCCATCAGCGTGTTTGGCGAGCGTCCCCATCTCGGAGAGTTGAATTGTCCTCGCATGCCATTTCTTTGATCCACCTTCGTTTTCTTTATCTTCCTTCGAATTGGGTCGTACCCCTTTGAGCAATTTGCCTCGAAATGAAGAAAAGGGTTTCGCTTTTTTGCTTCTCTCTCTCCCTTTCTCTCTCTCCTTCGGACCCAGTAGAAGTGTCCTCGAGTTCAGCAAGAGTTCTGAGTAATGAGAGCTTTGGGAAGTGTTATCAAAGCGCAGGCAAGCATGACACGCGCGATCTTTTTCTCTTCTAGAGGAACAAAAAGGAGTTGGTTTACCTTTTCTCGGCGGATCGGTCTTGCATGACATGTCTGCAACAGTCTGCATGCTTTTGTGTGCTCCTATGTATGTGAGCCAATTCGTGTTTGGTCTGACTCTTGATTTAATGATCTCCGTTTTGTTGTGACGAAATACTGCGGGCTCTTTCGACCAAAAAAAGAAAAAGAAAGGAAAATACTGTGGGCTCGCGCATGCATGGGCATGCGAGGGTCGATCTAGTTCTCTTTTTCTTATTCACATGTCTGCGGGCGAAAAGGGAGGATCTTTTGGCCCCTGGAAGTTGAAAACAAGTTGAATTGCAGCATTTTCAACTTCATAGATGCTTGGCATCGTCTTTTACATTGCACTCTTCCTCTTTTAAATAAGAATTTTCTCACCGATCAGATAGGGATGGCCTTTTTTTGGAGCCGTATACGGAAGCAAATTCATAGTCTTTTTAGTCTTTCATCCGTTGCTTGTTCCTGCATGCGTTTTGCATTGAACATGTGCTAATGGGTGTTTGCTGCCCTTGAAATGCAGATCCACCAATGTGTTGGACTTAGAAGGTGAAAGGTACTGCGCAAGTGTTGACAGAAGAGAGAGAGCACAGCCCTCCATTGGCTAAAGGGTCTTAGCTCTTGCTGGGAGTGTGCTCTCTCTTCTTCCGTCACCATCACCATCACCATCACCATCACCATTGCCATCTCCATCTCCATCACAGCGTCATCATCGTCCCCGACACATATGTAGGAAACTTCTGAACCACAGGTCTTGTGGACTAAAGTAAAACGACTTTCTCGACCCTCTATAGCTATATAGCTACTTAACTCTGGGGTTGCTTTTCAGCCCAAAAAAAGGAAAAAAAGAAAAAGGAAAGAAACTTGGTGATTACTACTTACTAGTGCATTCCTTATTCACTGGGACAGTGGCTTGAGTTAGAGGTAAAAGGAGGAATTTTAGAGGAGACGTGCTTTTATCTCATCGATTTTGTTTATATGCTTGCTTATGATGATTCAATTCCGATCCATAGCTCTAGCAGTAGCACATAAGGTACAACAATGTGTACTGAGGATTATAGTAGGTATGATAGCATCTCAGTTACTACGTACATGTTCTCTGCGTGTTCACTAGCATTCTTGAGTTTGCACAAGAGTCCAAACACTAGTGTACTTTTGCCCTTATCACAGATACATTCATGGACAGATAGAGCTGCAATCCTGATTTTGGTAAAAGATGGCCCCCTTCATTATGTCTTACGTAGGTGGAGGAGGTGCAATGCGAGGGCGCAGATAATTCATATGAACAGAGAAAAGGAGTGGAAACTCAACAGGTCTAAGTAAAGCTACGCCTCGGTGTTTTTGTAACTGATGCACAGGATGATTGCATGAGATGAAGGACCCAGACCTCCAGCTTCAGTGGTGATAAGGTCAAAGACAATTCATTGCTTCGGCGACCGTTTTAACAATTGCATTCTTCTCACTGCATGGAATAAGGACAAGGTGCGCCACGACCCGTCAGTCCCTTGCAAATCTTTAGATATGGAAACGGATGGTTGTGCTGGACACCAAGGAGTCTGAACTTTTTGCAAAATCAGTCTTCATACTTCTTCCTGTATATATTTGTGAACTAAGAAGCATCATCTGATAATCACTTCTGTAGAAGAGGGTTGATGGGTTTAGAATTCCCGAATTTTTGGGAATATCACTTTCAAATTGAGGATAAAGTGTGATTTGCTTTTTCATCAAGTTTGGTGAAAGACAAATAATCTGGCCATTATACCAAAACGAATGTCCAACCACTTCTACTAGAGTATGATGGACTGTTACTTCTAATGTGTCGTTGATGACCACGAGTCCTCGACCGTTCTTTTCGAAAGACAAAATGAAGATGGGTGTTCGAGCAGAGTTATGGTGCTGAAATAGGAACAGTGGGTCATATGAAGCAATTGACATACTCCGATTAAGTGAAGGAATATTACCTAATTCCATTTGTAGAATCTACTTTGCTGCTCTAGAATTGTAGTATTCTGAAGATATAAGTCAGTCAAAATTGAGCACGATCTACAATGATTCATTACCTTCTAATGTTTTGATTACACTATAAGTGCCATCATATTGTGTAATGCAGATTTTCTTAAACTCAATCTCGCTATTCATGGCCACATGGCAAGTGCAACCTCAAACTTACCAATTCCAGAATGGGTCTTGGTTGTGTGTGGACACAAATGCAGAGACTCCATTAAGTTTTCTTAGCGTGTCTACAGGGAATCTGACAGGACTCAAATGCTCTGAATGTCAAAATACTCGCCTTGGATTCAAAGAGCCGATGTACCTCCATACAGCCCAAAGTAGTATTAGTTCTAAATCGCTCTTCGGTTCGCTAGCTAACTAATGAAACATGGTACCTGTTACATTAGAATTTGCGATCTCATGGCCGAAGAACATATGTTTTTTTTAACGGAGGTCTCATAATTAGGTGGCAATTGCAAGTAGAAGAGAAAGCCTTAAATTTTCTATTAGTGATTTGGGGTGCTGCAAACCACTATATAGTTCAACGGAGCAGTTTGTCAGGATGTTGAACTCGAAATGTCCCTAATCACGGGATTAACATCAACAACACTAATATACAAGCAAAAATCTAAAGAATGAAACAATCAAACTGCTTGTGCACGGGAGAGCATGAGATTAACACTTCAATCGACTTTAATCTGGCACAATGTGGGTTGCGACAACTTGATATCCTCGCTGTCTGAGACGAGGTCCTCGAGGCTTAGCATTAAGCCGCTTGAGAACGAGAGGCTCGGTTTCATCCTCGGCACGAGAACCGGTTCGGCCTCAGTGATGAGGATCTGAAGGACCCTCCTCATAGAAGGCCTGTCGGCACTATCGGGGTTTGCGCAGCTCAACCCCAGAAGCAGGAGCTTCCTCATTTCTTCCTCCTTGAAGGTCCCACTCAACCTTTTGTCAGCTGCTTCAATGATCTTCCCTTGAGAGTGCAGTCCCCAGACCCAATCTACCAAATTCACCATTTTCTGATCAGCTGGGTCTCTCTCAATGGGCCTCCTCCCACAAGCAACTTCAAGTATGACCACTCCATAGCTGAAGACATCTGTTTTCTCGGTTGCTTTTCCATACTGAAGATACTCGGGCGCTAAGTACCCCATCGTTCCCGCTGTCAAAGTCGAAACAGGGCTCTTGTCGTGATCCATCAGCCTTGCCAGCCCGAAATCGCCGAGCCTCGCATTGAAATTCCCATCGAGCATTATGTTGCTGGTCTTGATGTCCCTATGAATGACTTGCTGCTCACATTCCTGATGGAGATAAGAAAGAACAGAAGCCAATCCAACTGCAATGTTGAGCCTATGGGGCCATCTTAACAAGGACCCTTGTTCGACTTCCTGGTATAGCACCTTGTCGAGGCTCCCGTTGGGCATGAAATCGTAAACTAGCAGCAATTCACCCTTTTCGACACACCAACCTTGGAGCTGCACCAAATTCTTGTGCCTCAGCCGAGCTATGATCGACAACTCGGCTAAGAATTCGGTTTTGCCCTCGTGGGAATGCTTTGATCTCTTCACGGCAGCAATAGTACCGGATGAAATAAAGAAGGCCTTATACACGGTTCCAAAAGCTCCGTGGCCAAGGATCCTGCTGGTATGAAACCCTTTTGTAGCCGTCTTCAGTTCCTTATAACTGAACTCTCTAGGACCAGCAAAAACCTCTGCTTTGAAATTCTTCTCTATCTTGATGTCCCTCCATTTCTTTACAGTAATATAGCCAAACACGGCGAGCACCACACAGAAGAAGGCCGGGCCGGCGATCCCAAGGCCTAACCCGAGCCTCTTATGATGCTTACTACCTGATTCAGGCACGGGAATCGGCGGCTTAATTGTCACAGAGCTATCGGATACATTATGAGGATGCGACTTCGGCCTCGCAGGCGAGAAGCCAAACGTTTGGAAGCTCCAGCTCTGAATGAAATGGAGCTCGGTGCTTCCCTCCGTCGACGCCGAGAAGCCCGCGTATCGCATTTCTTTAAGATACTCAGAGAGATCGACATCCACCGTCAAGAGAGGATCTTGCGGCTTGAAGCTCTTGTAACTCAAGAAAACCATCAGCTTCTTCTGGTCATTCTTGTAATCGATCCAGGCAGTTATCAATTTCCCGCTCTTGAGATCAATCCCCTGCAGCATCGGGTCCTCGGTCTTGACGGAAACCAAGCTATCGATGTCCAGCCCGACGTGGTTCTCGCTCGGGTCGCCGAAATGCGAGTCGACCCTCGTGTCGAACTCGACGGCGACGAACGCGTTCTTGGTCAGCTGCGAAGAGTTCACGAGGCCGAGGTACCCGCCGGGGCTGCCCAGGGTCTCGTTCCCCGGCGAGAGGAAGAAGGCCAGGCCGTCACCGAACGAGGCCGGGTTGACGTTGCCGACGGAGAAGGCGAAGGTGGTGGAGAAGGAGGCGGTGGTGTTGGACTCCCCGTCGAAGAACTCGATGGGGCGGTCGTAGATCACGGAGCCGGAGCCGGAGGAGGGCACGTCGGTGTCGCGGGTGAGGCCGAGGGCGCCGCCCCGGAGGTAGGAGTCGCCGAGGAGGGTGAGGTTCTGGAGGGCGGCGGAGGCGAAGGAGGAGAAGTTGAAGCTCGTGCTCGCGGAGGACGCAAGGTTAGGACAAGACAGCCAGGCGGGGAGGAGGAGGAGGAGGAGGATGGAGGAGAGGGAGAGCAAGCGGAGATTTCTTGGAGCCATTGGGTCATGGGATCTGATGGGAGGAGGATCGAGCGGCCGGGAATGGGTATGTCATCGACGGCGGCGGCTACGGCGGCGGCGGCGGCGGCGGCGGCGAGTGATTTTGGGAAGAGTGTTACTGTAACTTGAATTCTGAGAGAGGGGGGAAGAGGAACAGGGTTTTAAACGGTTGGAATGGGCGGGGCGCGTCTTGGGCTTGAAAAATATATAAAAAGAAAAGGAGGTGGAAAAAAAAATAAAAAAGAAAAAAAGAGAGAGAAAAGAAAACGAGAGGAGGAGGGTGGGCGGGCTTGTTTCTTTCTTTTCCTCTCTTCTTTTAACGGTTACCAAAGAATACGACATCAATCAAGCTCCGCCAAACGGCGTCGTGCCAAGGGGATACTTTTTTTTTCAGTCAAGATTTGGAAAAAACTTTTAATCCGTTTTAATTGTCGAACGATTACAGCACAAGTTTGGACGGGCGTTAAATAATAACATTTATGAGGATACTTGTCGAGTAATCAAATGACAAAGAATTTACAATTTGTTCCGTGTAATAAGTATTTAGGAAAAATCGACATATATATTTTTTGTTAAGTATGCCTAATAAACATTTTCGAAACAGATGTTAAAGTTCAAAATATATCAAAGTATACGAGTTGCGCAATTTCATAATAGTAAAGAGTAAGAATCGAAAAGCGCTCCAAATGCACAAATCATCCCTCTGACTTTCTTTTGTTTCGCATGGAATTTTGGGTTAACTTCTGCATCGTGGCAGGGCCACACGTTCACAACAAATCAAGGGCTGATACCACAAAAAAAATCCCAAACTATTATGCCCATGTTAGATTTATCATAAATCAATTTCAGTGTCGTGAAGAACCCCGTATCGATTTTTTCTCATCATGTTTGTCCCAAATTAATTTTCGTGTCATGAAAAATCATCAACTGGTACACTCATTGCCACATTTATCGAAATCTGGCTATAAGATTTTAGTAGATTCACCACGGGAGTATCGAATTGGGTTTTTCCATGACCCGAGAATTAGCCGATTTTTGTAACGCGAAAATTAGTTTGGTCTGAACATCGAGACAAATGTACTGATTGGGAATTTTATCTATAAATTAGCCTATGAACATAATCACCATTCCAAGTAAGTTGGTTGCTTATTACGTGAAGATGAACACCTCCCCCCAAATGATGAAACTGCTTAGAATGATTAAAGCGGGTCTTTTACCGTGAAAGAGAATCAGCTTCGGATCGGACGGCCGAGGATTTTCCCATCACGCTGGCCGTACGCGCCCCCCTCGCGGGAATGTGGTGGGTGGATGGGGGTGAGGGGAGGAATCTCAACGGCATTGTATGAATAGGAGCGTCGTCATCTGACCCCCCCACCACCAACTTCCCATCGGGGGGAGACGGAGGGTTGGATCCACGTCACGCGACCGATTCAGCCCCCCACGTGATTGCCCGTTCGGTCCATGGAGCCGTTGGGAAAGCCAAGAGCAATTTAGAAAAACACCCCACCCAAATAAAAAAAAAATAAAAAAATAAAAGAAAAGAATTCCTGAACTGAAACTTTGACCGAGTGTCAGAATCATCATTCTCTAACCCCCAAAAAATTTTAGAAAAATAAGAGAGAGAGAGAGAGAGAGATTCTCAGACACACACACGCACACACTTTAAGGTAAAGAGATTTTACTCAAATATGGTGGGGCTCAGTTTGTACTACACTACTACAGTAGGCCATGGATGACGTTATGTACATGCATGCATTACTTTGCCATGCCAAGAAAGTCTTCAGCTACTCCCACCAACCCTGAGAAAATCTAGGAGTCCTCCTCGGCTTGGAATCTTGCGGAAAGTAATTATTATCCCACCATTCTTCGGCTGCTGCTGCACAAAAGGAACAAAAATGGCCATCAGCGCACACGCTTTGGAATCCAATGAATTTTTGTTTACTACTCTGCAACGCTGTCATTGGGTCATCACGGTGCTCGTGCTTGCATTGAGAGAGAAGCACATTCCTGAACAGGTCTGATCCATGTGGCATGATAGTAATCGAGGGAGCAACGCTACCCGCAGAAACGAGACGGCCATTTCGATTTGTGGAATTCACTGTATATAAAGATAGCTATGGCGCACGAAATCTTAGCAGCTGAAGGAAGGACCTAATAAGGTTGGCCGACTCTTGACAAGGGAAGGCATTCGAGTCGTTGAGTGTAGCGATGGCTCATAAGAGAAGAAAGTGGAAACTTGAGATCGATCGCAAAAGAATGTGTGTAACTACTAAAGATGACCCTGTTAGATGAGATAACGTTACCCTATGTCTCGCGAGGAAAATGTACAAAGTGCGACTAGATCCCATTGCAGGGTCGTTTGGCAAGTCGCGTGCTCCCTATTTTAGCTGAAACTTCCGAGGCATGACAACTGCATGGTTATTTGAAGTTAGTCAGTAAAGTAGCAGTTACTGTTTGATAGATTAGAGTCGGTAGTCCAACTAACCTTCAGATATACTACAAAAGCTATCTGGGGGGAAAATTACATCTGGATCCACTCTTTGCTGAGAGGAAATTGCCTGCGCCATACGACTTTTACTGCAAAAGAGAAGCGTAAGTATAGAAATAAATTCCAGCTGGCAGAAAGACGTAAAAGCCATTTAGGCACTAACGAGTGGCCTCTACCTATCCCCGGATTTTAACATATGATATAAGGGTAAATAAGGTGACAACAGAGACCAAGAAGAAACGTTGTAGCAGTTCCAGAATCAAATTCCATGCCACCTGTTTTGTTCTCTCAAAAGAACGTTCAATTAGTACAGCATAACGAGTCAACTGACCTTGCCCATGAAGGTACAAATTTGTCATTGGGTGTATCATCTTCATCTTCGTCTTCGTCTTCATCATCCGAACATTTGTAGGGTGAAATCTCGTATGATCGTTCTTGATTGCCATCGCTGACACTGTCCTCAATATCTGTTGCTTTTTGCAAAATGCTTATTACCTGGATGATAAGCAACTCTCAGCATGAAAGAGTACAGGCAAGCAATTTCCTTCAGCAGATCAAACAAACCCTCATCTCTCTAGAAGTTGCTTATACAACTGAGTACGAGCTGTTTACTGAAAAATGCTTTGGGCACAAGCTATTGACAATGAAGAAGAGAAAGCTTTTAACATTTACAGCTAGCATTACTGACAATTTCAGTAAAACGACAGACAAGGCAAGGACGAAGGCCTTAGTCATGGAATAACCACTCGGAAAGTTTGTTGGACAAAATCATTGCCAACTCCAGTTCCTGAAGTTTAGCTATTCCAATACCATGCCAGAAAGCACAATTAAACAGATTAAGGAGACAATAAGAATATCATTCTATAATCAATTAAAGTCATTCTATACGTGATATGAGACAACTGCCCCTACAGGATTTCAGATGATGTGGAAGTTAAATCTACTCCTGCAATTTCTGCTGTCGTACAATTATAAATTTTCCTTTACAGTCTATCAAAAAGGACTGCAAAGCTGCATTGAGTGCGGGATTTTTCTATTACTTGCATATTAAATACTGCAAGTGTAAGGAGTAGCGATAATAATTTTTCCCATAATTGTTCTGATGAAAATAAAAATCACACATGGCAAGCAAAGTCCCACGTATTTCCAAATTAAATTCACCTTCAAGCCCCCCTCACTTGGCTCTTCTTTTCAACTTATTTTCTCTTTTCCTTTTAGGCAATGCATTGACGACTGAACTTAGTTTATTTATTCAAAGAAAGCCTGAATCAGAAATTGTACCTTATTTGTTCCATCTACACATATTCTTTCTGTTGAGCAGGGTTTAGAGCCTAAGCCCTGGTCAAGTTCAGCTTCACTCTCCACTATCCTCTCCGGAAAAGCACCTCTTTTTTCTGTCTCTAATGTTTCATTCTTTCCGAGTTCATTTCCCGATTCTCCCCTCTTCTGAAACATATTATCCCAAAACACATGTGAGGTCAATGCTACCATGAGGACTAACAAAAGGAAACAAAAAACAGAAAAAGTAAGATAGCACTGGATAGATCATACTGCAGCATGATATTTTGGTCCTTGCTGCTCCTTTTTAGTAGGCATGTCTTCTTGGTTCTCTTGATTCCTCCGAGCACCTTCAACACGTTTTCTTTTCCTTTCCTTCTCCCTCCTATCTTCTTCTTCCCTCTGCCTTTTCTTCATGGCAATATCAGCCAATTTTTTCTTCTGCTCTTCTTCTTTCCTTTTCCTTTGAAGCTCCAATTGTCTCGTGTTTTCCTTCTCCATTCTTGCCCGTTCAAGTTTCAATGCTTCCTTCTTCATTTTACGTTCAATCTCTTTCTTTTCTGCCTGACGTTTTGCAGCTTCAGCAGCCTCAAGAGCTCTCACTTTAATGTCCCTCTTCCCTATTAAAGATAAGAAGTTTTAAACTAAATGGTTGGCGACAAAATCCAGTATAGACTTATCTTGAGTACATAAACATAGTAAAGCCAAAAGCAACTGATTGCTTATTCTGATGAAAGCCCTCACTCATCTAAAGTTTCTTCATGAAACAAACAGCTATCAGTTCAAAGAAATATGATGACAAATTCCATCTTCATCCAACTATCAGTGAAACAGATTTCAATCATGAAATTCAGCTCTTCTAATTTAATAAAGTAACTAGAAAAATTCAGAAAATGAGACGTAAATCTACTGAACTATTTGAGTCCAGCGATGGTATGTGAGAGAAATCTAGCACCATAAAAAGTAGCATCACAAATTTCCAAGAAGGAATCCAGGAAAAACAATGCACCCTTTTGAAGTGCAAAATAGCAGTATGACATAATTTACCCAAAGCAGTCTTATCTCATATGTCTTAATAGGGAACTCAAGAACAGAACTTGTAGAAAAAGATGTGGTCGATACCTGTGAAAGGTGCAACTGTTTGTTTTTGTTGAACCAGTGGCAAGAACGAAGTCACATGAGACACAATGTTGTCACCTTTCCTGAGGCTGGTTTTTGGCTTACTGAACCTGTTATTAGGCACTTCCACAGGCCTCTTCCCTACGTTCAGCCCTTTTGGCATGGTTGTGCTGTCCTTCGCCCTATGCCTCTTGCTGCTTTCCCGCTTCCCAGGCTTCTGTTTAGCCTTTCTATGAGTCCCAGCAAAGCTAATTTCTGTTCTGATGGAATCTAGACTACATCTTGTCATCTCATTCTCTGTATCAGAAACTGAAGCAGGACAATTAGGATCTTCTGTAATATCAGCAAGTGGTTTTCTATTTGCTGCACTTGTTCTAGCATCTAAATCAATGCCCTCTTTTGATGTATCAGCTACCTCATCTGCATTCTCATTTTCTTCGCTAATGCAGGGAAGCTCAGGATTTAAGCTTCTTTTCTCCTTTGAACTTCCAGACTTGGAGGCTATTATATCCCACAACTTCCCGACGGGAGATGTGTAGGTTTTCTTCTGATATCTGGCAGATTCGGCATATGAAAGAGGAAGGCAATCAGAGTGGGACCTTCCATAAGGAGCCTGCTCAACTTCCTTTTTCACGAAGTTGTTCACCCCATTACACTCATTCATAGAGAGAGTGCTCCCGATGTCCATATATTCAAGAAGGCCGTTTGGAACTGACTTGTATAAGTTCGGTGCCTTATGCAGCTTGTATGCGGTGGAGAAAGGGGACAACGGTGTATGAACAGAAGAAGATTTGGAAGGCAGCTTTTGCACGCTGGCATGTTCAGTAATACCATCTTGAACATCCAGCTTCTCAAAGCTATATCCATCATCAGAAAATGACTTCTCATCATCAGTTGAAATGATGAATCCCTCAAAAACAGGCATTATTTGATCCTTTCCAACTTGCTCCATGGATGGGCAACCAGGTGTGTGGTAAGGAAACTCATATTTTTGGTTATGGGCTTCTCTATTCTGTTCAGGTCTTTCAGAACAAGCTAAATGTTCCTCATCTGTCCAATTGAAAATATCCTCAGTCAGGCATTGACGTTCCTTATCCATGGTGCCCTCGATTCTTGCTAAAGATGCAACGTCAGATAGACCAGAAATATTTAAGCGAGGTTGTCCATGGTTTTCATGCACCAAATGGGAATCTGTATTTTCATGTTGCCCTTCCAAGGTGAGACCCTGTGAGACAAAATGATCAAAAAATTTACAGCACCATTTTGCATCATACAAGCTAGAGCAGCATATGCAGTAATAGATCTGCTCCATAACTGTACACGCATTTAGTGTGGATGCAAATTGTGAACTAAATTATTGACGCAGAGACTGCTCTGCAAAGCAAGTTTAAGTGTTTTATATATTAAGAAGTTGCTGATATGAGGTGAAAGATGTATTTTTCTTGTGCTGGCATCAATTAACTAACTCTAATTTCAGTATTCTACAATACTAATCGTCCAACATAGACTGGAACTTTAGATCTACAATCCCCAAAGATTATCCGATGTTTTTAAGGAAAACCTCCTTGTAACATGATGATTTTAGTCCTGAGCTTTCTCTGGAGCTATCGTAACTTGACAGTTTCACTCTCAGAAATAGTTTCTTTTTGTGGTTTGGAGGTTGAAACACTAATAGCACTCAATATGGAGCTGTCTATTCCCATTACAAGCATAACAGAAGGAACTATTAAATCTAGGACCTAGTCATCTATTGAAACTGACCTATTATCACTAATAGCACACAATGTGAAAATGATCGATTTAAGAAGGCCAGCCATGTTGATCATCATAAAGATAGCCAATAGATGATTGTGATCAACCTTTCCCACAACCCTTTAAAAGCAGCACTTTTCTTCAACGAACATGTACTATATATGTTCACCAATCTTCTCCAAATAGTATAGGACTAAAATAAAAAGTTTCTAACTGGAAATGGAGAATTGAGTACCTCCGGAATTTGCTGCATCTGCAGGGTTTCAAATGCTTCGGTCACGTCATGCTTGGCATTATGCTGCATCAGATTATTGAGGCTCCTATCAACTATAGACCCTTTCTTAGAACTAATACGAGTCTTTTCATCATCCTCTGCCCCGATTGCCTTTCTTTTTCCACAATTTCTGTAAGTACTGTGCAATGGATCCATCTGCAAGCTCAATGAAGCAGGTGAAAGCTCAGTTGATTTATCAAGCTGAGGCGATGAATTTGCAAAACCATTGCCGTCGGACTGTAACGGTAATATCTTCACACTTTGACGGTCAGAAGATTTGAAACAAGCTACATTCTCCAAAACTGGAGCAAAATGAGGAGTGCCGCTAGTCGTGGAACTAATTAGTTCCATCGGCATTACTCGACCACCATAAGAATCAGGGTCTAGTTTATGATGACCAAGGTCCACTTCAGTTGATTCTGCTGCTTCAAACTCTCTAGTATCCTTCTCATGGGAAGTATTCATTACCTCATTTGATTTCAGACCGGACAATGAAGAATAATGTCCATCACTTAATGTGCATGGAAAATTTTTACAGGCGGTGGACAAATTAATTGAATGATCAATGAAAGACATCCTACTTTTGGATTTCTTCCCTTGTAGGGGATAATTAGAAATGACGTCTTTGTCATTTCCACATGTTTCACTCACTACTGTCTCATCATCCTGTCCTAAGGATGTGCTTGACTCACCTATCTTGTCAACAGGGTTTTTCGCTAAATGTCTAGTAGATCCAAGTTCTTCAAAGCTCTTTTCCTGCTCCCACGAGTTTTCCTGCTCCCACGAGGTGACCAGCCCTTTACGTAGCACTGTGTCCTCGACACTTTCTTCTGACACAGCTCCAGGAACATTATTCAAGCAGGTCCTGTTCTCTCTGAGATCATTGAAGTCAAGTTGATTGGGCTTTAAAAGAACTTCAGAATCAGAGCAAAGGCTTGAGGCTAATGCTTCTGGCACGTTTTCCAGATCAGCAGGATCAATGTTAGATGGAATGCCAAAAGAAGATCCTTCAAATGGCTTTTCAAACGCAACTGAAGATTGAGCAGCATCTGTAGAACATCTTTCTGGATCAACATTATCGCTCAAGTTGGACAGGGCATTTGGTGCAGTACCGTGTGCTTTTGGCAGGTTATGGGTACTGCCTGTGATAAGCTGGTCAGAATGAGTAGAACCCAACTGGTTGACAGAACAACCTGAAACCAATAAGTTTTCAGTTACTAATGCATTGCCATTACCACAATCATCATCTTGGGGAGATTGCGATTGCTTTCTTAAAGAGCCAGCCATCTTCACATCACCTGGGTCAGAAGATATCTCCAATCCTGGAAGTGCCTCACAATTAGGTTGATGGGAAAAACATCTCAACTGTGTGATTTCACCAGAACCAACAGTAGTTTGATGTCCATTGATTTGGCAATCTCTGCTTTCCGGTCCATGCATGCTGCCACTTCCATTCAACTCCATAGAGTTGTCAACCTGGCTCACTGGTTGCATTAGCTTATCCATACCACAGCTCTTTCCAATAAAGGAGGAACTATTGGACTTCAAAGCTTCGTTCATTTGACAATTTTCAGTTGACTTATAAGGTCTTGTTATATCGCTACATCGAATGTTGCTTTCCTTTTCCTTTCTCAAAAAATCTCCTCTATCCCCTTCACTCTGCCTTTGAACTTCAAGATCAATACTGCAAGGAGCATCCATTTCCAATAATTCATTTGAACAGCTTCCAGATATCAAGGATCTCATGGCTCTACCGCTGCTGGTTTTGCTGCCCTTTTCCTTACTCTTGAAGATGACCATTTGTGTTTCTTCTGTTGAATTGATGTGAGAACTGGTGTGAGAAGGCTTGACCAGCTCTGCAGAATATACATTTTCAGACGGTGGAGGAGCAACCCCAGAAGCAGCAGATCTGCTTGGGTCAACAATAGGATCTTTTTCACGTAAACAACTTCCAGATGCCTTTGCACTGTTCCGGAGCTCAAGAGCCGTTTGCCTCGCCTTGGATCTCTGGACCCTTGCCAGTGACTGATCTAGATCATGATAATCTTCTGAGATTATCACGTCCCTTTGATGTTGAGGGGACGTAATGTTAGGATCCGCCTCAGAAGTACCATTTAGGACAAAAGTAGTGTCATCTTTAGGAATTTCGTGCAACAATGACAACTTACTGCTTGCTTCACCTATGTCTTGCAAAGCGTGAAAATCTGCGCATAAATCAGCTGGAAACCCTCTTGTGTCTGCTGTAAGCATGGGTTTATCATAAACGGGACGATGACCAATGGAACAAGGAACTGAAAATTGTGGCTGCGGCTGCAAAAGTTCTGCAATAAGCTCTTCTCTCTGAAATTCTGCAATGACAAGACAGTAAATGTAAATTCAAGCTAGGGACTAGAGGTCCAATGGCCACAACCATCGAGGGCAAACACATCGTAGAATAAATGACTGAGTGCCGTATCGAAAGAGATGGCGCATCATCACGTGTAATTGCATCCATTCGCATTGAACATTGCCCAATTATACAAAAGACAACCGGTTACGGAACAAAAGCATCATAACAATGCAGCAACATTAGAGGTTAAAGTATTCATGGAAGCATCAAAATTCAGGGGAACGACTTCGAATCAAGCCAGTTTATCAATCAACTTCAGCAGTTGTCACTCGAGCTCGGCTCATCGTTGATGCATCGTTCCAAAGCAGAAAATGAGGGGAGCAAACTAAATTTCAAAAGGAGCAATCGACAAGTAAAGCATTTCCATACGAACAAAAGCACATCGGCATTCACACACACGCCGTGCAGATAACTAGCATTCTGTAACGTTCCAAACTAGTAGGACACGAGCGAATCCGCTGCCGGTTTAGCAAAATCCCGACCGGAACCGTCGAACGACGGCACTAACCGACGCGTATCGATAAACAGTAAAGCTTCCCGAAGTTCTCTCCGAAGTACCTCCGGGGAGCAGCGACGGCGGCTGCGAGCGGAGGAGCCAGGGAGGAGGGGCGACTCCGTCAATGAGGAGGGTGGAGGCGAGGTGCCGATCGAAGAGGCGAGCCTGGTGCCTGACCTGGTCGACGATCCAGTCCTTCCGCTCGAAGATCTGCGCGAACAGCTTCTCCATCGCCGACATCTTCTTTCACGATTCCGCCATGGACTCGAGGAACCGGATGCAGCGAGTTTGAAGAGGAAGAGGGAGGGAGGGAGGGAGAGATGCGAGCGATGCAGGGTCGTCGTGCTTTCGGTGGGGGATTTCTGAGCGAACGACGCAGATGGGATGAGCGCGACGCGCAGATTTGAATTTCTTTTGGGGAAGGCGGTGGTATCACCCGGCACTGCGAAACGGGTCGGGTCGGGTCATGCTACTGGGCCCACGCGGTCCAGTTTGACCATCTGTTGCCTTCGGTTGGGCTTGGGCTTGGGCTTTGAGACTCAATCAAAGCCCACTGAAAATTTTCTCCAGGCGCTCTTAATTTTCGCCCACGGTTTTTTCGATTTCTTTTTAGTTTGAAGCGCTCGATCGAACTTTTGGCAAAAAATTTAGTAAGATTTGATTGGTGTAGAGTGGAAAAAGTTTAGGACTTGATTGCAGTTCGTGATGATAAGAGAAAGGATTGGCGGAAAACCGTGTGTGTTCTTCACATGTTACAAAATATAGGATTTCCAAGATTACAAATTATTGTGGAATCAATGTTGAGCTTCTCCGCCGGAACAAGCTACACTGCTCTGTTTCTTGCTCTTTCATGAAATTGGATTTCCTCCAATGAACACATAAAAACCAGTCGTAAAACCTCTGATGCAAGGTGAACCGGCCTATGTGATATCGACATATCCATCTAACCAAGCGTCACATATATTCTGATACAATAGTCATCTACTAGATGCACCTTAACATGCTTCAAAGTTGGGACCAATGGATCCTAGTGTGCTTTTGTCAGCACACTTAATAACTCACTCACGACGCTAATCGCAAAAGGTATGTCTAGTCTAGTAATCGTGAGATTGTTCGGCTTACCAACCAGTCTCCCATATCCCTCAAGGTTGAGAAAAAGTTCCCTCTCGCCTGGTAATAAGTTAATAACTTGACATAAATGAATCCATTGGAGTGGCAATGTGTCTTGCATTAAGGCTTAGTTTATTTCACGAAAAATGAATAACTTGGTAAATTTTTTTCCTAAAGAATAATCATTTGTATCGCTTGAAATAATTAGTTGATAATAAATGTTTTATTATCGACAATAATTTATGTCTAAACATTATCGTGGACGACGAATTTTTTTTTTTGCTCGTTCATTTTCGTAAGCGATACAAGCGATTATTTTTAAAAAATTATTTTTCTATATCATTCATTTTTCGTGAAGCAAATATAATCCAAATAATAGTTTCTTGTAAGATATCCAACACATATTATCAATGGATGCTACCATAAGGAGTATACACTTCCCCCCCATGATATCAATTGAAGATAGAATGATCTGAAATGATAGCGTTTGAGACCAAATCCCGAAACTGCATAATTGAATCAATTGAATATAATTCAATTTGTTAAAGTATCCCACATCGCTTGTCTATGCTTTTTATATACATGTGATTTGCTCCGGTTTAATGTTCATGTGCGTCTGACCGAAAAAACAAATGTTCATGTGCGGCTCCCCCAGGCTTACATGTGATACAAGTGTTAAAAGTATCCTGCAACCATCGTGAGACGAATTCAAAGGGACTTTATTCCCTGAAAAAAAAACCCCAACTTTAATCTAATCCCAATTTTGCTCCGAATTATTTTTTGTCTAAAAAGAATCCCAATTTTCATTCTAGTTCCAAGTCAACCCACGCATCCAAAAATCGCCACTAGTTTTTGCATTTAGAGTTTTATTATCTAAAAACGTGTTTTCATCAACACTCTTACGTTCCCATGAAACAATAATAGCTTATTGATGTTGATAATCTTGAAGAAACTAATAGCAACATGTGAATAGATTTGGGACTAAAGTGAAAGTTGTGAACTTCTTTTAAACAAAGAAGTTGGAGGAGGGATTGCTAGTGGTTGAAGATGACAAGCTTCATATGTGCTTGGGTACTAGATACATGGCATAGCCAGATTTGGGCCAGGCGAGGGCGTTGCAACCCTTGTTTATGGTCGCTGACCACCACCGAGGCAGCGGATCAACATAGGGAAGAAAAGAAAAAAGGAAAGGGAAAAAAAGAAAAAAAAGTTAGAAAGTAATTAAATTGTCCACGTTACCAATTTCCAACCGATATTGATTGAAAGGACTACATTGACAAATCGTTAAAAAATTCAAAGCTAAATTGACCAATTAAAATGTTTATGACTCAATTGGCATCCTTTCAATATGTTTATGACTTTTTTGTTAATTTTTCCCTCTATATCTAGCGAAAACTAAGCTCGGGATCAGCCTCCAATCTATTTTTCCAAGACCACCTCCTAGCAAACTATATGGCAATGCACATATGCTCCATTTCCTTACAACAATTAACTTCATAGGCGACATGCATGCTGCCATCTTCTTACCACTTTGAAATATAAAAAACCATATGACGAAATTGAGGTCCAAATTCAGCTGCTCAAAATGTCCTTCCTAACAAATCAAGGCGGAAATTGCGGCTATATCCACTCAATCTAACGGATCCATGCTTCATTAAAACCAACAGATGATCATGTCATTCGCGTAGCTCATGCATTTGCTAGTCTTTCTTACGCCCGTCATCAACAATCCCGTCTCTCATTTGTCTCATTTGTCCGCACGAAGCTCGATTAGATCGACAGAAACTCCATAACATCACGGATGCTACAGCAAAATAAGGAAAATTACCCAACTGCATATTCAAAAACACTATTACAATGATTCGGAACATTATCAGTCTACTGTCGAATCACGTATGACACTAAACATAACAAATTAGAAGTCCTCCTTCACTATTTTGTAGAAGATAGCATTGGTGTGAATCAGTCGTAAGCCAAAAAGTTAATCTGGCCATGCCCAAAAGGACCATTTACAGAGCAAGCAAGGCTGAGTGCAGTAGCTAACAAAATTCACTCAGTCCTACCACATAGACTTACCTGGTCAGTTCCAAAGAAAGCCATATTTACAAATCCCAAGAGCCGGTTTCTATCTGTTTCTCCCAAAAAATGGCTAATGTTAGTTCGATCTTTATGTCTTAGATCGCTTCCGAGAGGATCTGTTGCCTCTTGCGCTTCTTTTCTGCTTCTTGATGTCCCCGTTGCTTATCACCTCGGTTTCAAACGCCTTGGAGGCTTTGTTGTGAATGACGATGTTGGTGATGACGGCAAACGTGGTGGTCTCGCCATTGGGGGCCAACTTGATTTTCTTTCCGATGATGGCATTCTGACCGCAGCACCGGCCTTGAATCGCTGTATCTCTGAGCTTCTGAAGTATTGCGTCCTTATCGGGAGTAGAGCAATCAGTTGAAACCTGTGAGTGATAATTTGTTACTAACCGTTAACAAGATAGTCAGGACGGCTATCATATTTTCTGTGTGACTGAAACATTTTGTCGTTAGGTTGCTGATCCTAATAAGATGGGACACTGACAGACAAAGAGCTTGCGAGAAAAGAGCTCGCTGTTTCTTTTTCCACTTTGTTATGAGCAAGGGATATTCTTCCATTTTTTGTTCGTTTTAGCCAACAAGCAAGCGAGATTTCCTTGGAATCCAAATTCTAATCGGGCATTTCAAGAAGGAAAATATATAGGACAGTGACACGAGGATGTCGGCTTCTACCATATGACCAATCAGAATCACTTTGGAACCTAATTGACGACCTAAGGGAAAAAAAGATGGCAGCCTACTTCAAAGACATTTTAAGCCTCGTGGAAGGGGTTGCATCCCCATAAATATATTAAAACTCATTTTCGCAGTCACAACCTTAAAATTGACAATGACGACAGGTATAGCAGATGACAAAATGTTAGCGAAGCTGCTCAAGATTCTTACCTTAGGATCAAAAGGGATATTAATCTGGCTGCACAGACAGCCACAGCCATCAGAGAAATTAATTTTCAAGACCATCTCAAACACTTTTGTCCTCTCTGTTCTCCTGCACATATGTAAGGATACCGTCAAGAGTATCAAAGAACAAGAAGCCATGTCAAGACATCTTGCACTCTTATGATTAAAGAGAAAGGTCCACGCTGAGTACTCCTCAGTTCCATCACCAAGGATACATTGTGATTTCAGGTAATGTATCTTATGGAACTCATGACTTGTTCGTGCTCTATCACAATGCTCATTAAATCTAGGGAGCACCAATCAAAGTGATCACATGAAATTTTCATATTCTATTATATTTCAGGTAATATTTTCCAAAATCAATAGTTCACTTGTTTATTGAGTTTGGCAATCGCCACTCTGATTTAAAATGTATATAAGCATTAGAAGAGGACAATTACATGAACTCAGGCTGAGTGAACGATGTATCTGGATCATTTATTGGTCAGAAAAAGAACACCTCTGGTCTCTCATTTAGAAATACTTAACTCACATTGCTGTCACATTGTTGCCTCTCAAAGAAAAGCAACCTTGAAGCCTTTCATTGCAAAACTCACATTGTTGACCTTAAGAAGGCAACTTACCTCCCATCGCGAAGTGAGAGCAATACAAAATCTCTTTTAATTTGCAAATGAAAAATGGCCCTCTACCATGTTAGCCATCACCACGAAACATTATCAATGAAGGTTTTCTTAGTTTTTCATGGCAAGCAGAAAAAGTCAATTATATTTCCAAAAACTTACCTTTTCAGCAGAAATGGTTGCTCATGAAGAACAGCTGCTTTGTATTTTTCCTCATCTAAAAAAGTAACCTGGAATGTTACAAGAACATTCATCAGTCAAGCTGTGATAAGTCTTAAGAAGGGCATGTAAACAGTCCAATTTCACCGAGTCCCAACTTGATAGAAACCCCACTCTAGCTACAACAACTAATTAATAGAGTATTTAAAGACATCAATAGTATGAAAACAAAGCAAAAAAAATTGTTAAGGTTGAAAATATCATCAAAATAAACCCCCACAGGAAGAAGCAAGTGGAAGCAGTGCAGTCACCATCTCAAGCTAAGCAATTGCACGCATAGGCCCCTCCCAGAAACTTCTGCAATTCAACTCCACATTTGCTTATGTCAACTAGAATAGATCATACCCGACCAAAAAAACACTACAATAGATCATACCCATAGAAGATTTTTTCCATATAAAAATATATCAACACAAGCAAGCATAAATAAAAGGGTAGTCTGAGAACCAATATTTCAAAGAGCATAATTTCCTCTGACTTTGCCAGAAATCAGGAAATATTTACAGAGGTAGTTTAACTCAAATGTTTCTAACGTAATTTCACCTCAACTGATTTGATGAATGGCAATGGAACTTTCTGCCCATGAACGCTAGCCAACCTGAGCATCCAGTTGACGTATTTTTCATCTGTTATGCAACCAATAATCAACATGACAGAATAATAGCCCCTTGTAATAACGGCATCATATGAAGACATCTATGATGTATCAACAATCCATCAAATTCATCACAAAGCTATGCTAAACTCAGCTGAGGGATCACCCCACAATAGTGTATGAAATTCCAGACCTAAGCGAAGTTAAGAGGGCAAATGATGCAATAAATACATATACAGATAAACGAAAAGAAGTTCTATCTCGCTCTTGAATGAAAACATATCTGACGGTTGAATTTAGTTGTACCACCAACCTAAGAGCAAATAATGAGCCATAAAGGGACAAGGCAGCCTATAATGACACTCATCACTGTCATTAGGACTCACAAAATGAATAGTTACCTCCACTTAAAGCTTTAGTTAAAATAATCTGGATGAAGTCAATCCTGACAAATGGAGCAATCTGCATATTCAGCAAGTTCATCGCACCTGCAATAACCTGTGCTCTTTCAAATTAAAAGAAAATTATGGTGTAGATAGCAAGTCAAGCCACTTTGAGGCCTAAAAGATGCGACAAAGTTTCAGATGCTCGGTATTATGTATCATTGAGCCACACAAAACTCATAAGCACTTTTTTTCCCAATGCAATAGGAAGTACAAGACACATGCACCAGGACATGTCACATTGGGCTCGCAATGTTCGATGAAAATGAACTTATAGTGGGTACTCAATAATAGAATATCAAGACGACAGCTCCAACAAATCATCTAGATCGGATTAGCACAGATGATGGCTGCACGAGGTTAGAAGATAGTGACACAGAGATCTCTTTGAACCCAAGAGCAAAAATTTAGTACCTTATCTACAAGTCCGTGGATCACCAAACTCGCTTTCTTGTCCTTTGGAGTTTTCTGCCAATTTGTTTAATACAATTAATTAGCGCACTAAAGAGTTGATGAGTGAAAAATGCTAGAACTCTATCAACTGATGGTATGTTTGATTTTGTCCATCTCCTTTCATCCAGTCTGTTTCTGTGTTTAATTTTATCTCTCGATGGAGTGCTTCTACAAGTCAGCAAGGCCAAAGTCTGATAATGCAGAGCAGCAAGATCTCACGATATATAGAAATGGCCTATGTTGTGCCCAGTTACACAAACAAGTTAACACACAGAATTCAGTAGATTAGTCAAGATATAGTTCCAACCCATAGATCAAATTCCATGAGAAAGGAATAGAGGCAAACATTTCTTTCATTGATTCCCTCTTCTCACATGCCTTGCGACCTATAAGATTTAAAGATATGGCAATGCTAAATTTCTCCTTTGATGACATCAAAATTTGTGGCTATGCTCAGTCTAGTCCTGATTCATCTGCTTCTAACAGTTGGGAGGGGAAAAGCACAATTATTTGGTAAAAGCATTGTCATCAAGAAACCGTCTGAACTCCTTGCCTTACAATATTGACCAGACTATTATTGATTTTATTTGGCTCCTGACAATTTAATTCCTGCCACATATTATATGATAAACTAGATATACAAGTAGGGGTCCTGCTTCGTTGGCAATTATATGAACACTCTGGACCTATTCACCAAATTCTGGCAACTATAAGAATAAAAATCATTTATAATTTCTAACATCTTTTGCATGTCATCTAGCTCTTTATCTTGTCTTTGATTGGAAAGAAGAAGCACCTGAAGATTTACAATCACAATCTTCCCTCCACCACGTAGACATTTCAAAGGCAAGTTACATGCAGGAGTGATCTGCAGACTGCATAGGTCATAGAGCAATCATACTTGAGACAAGTTAAGAGGAAAACTAACAAAACAAAGACACACCAAAGAAGTAGATTTAAAATGGAAAAACAAATGTTGGAGAAAATATACTTCTGATTGAAGACAACCCATGAGTTGATGCAAACCAACCAACAACAACTGATCCTTTCCCCACCAAAGAGATCGAAGACATGGATACCTTTTTTTTAATGTGCTGTCTCCTGATGTCAATTATACTACCTACTAAGCTATTATCCATCATGGTCATGCTATAGACGAAAGACCAGCATCCAATTATTATTACAAATCTCATCAATCTGCCATGATTTTAAGAGATGAATTCCTAGTTATGTTTAACAAGCAACCACAACTAGATAAACAGTTGCCTGACCAGGCAACCTCAATATTACCTTGTTCCTAAGCACAAAACAACATCAGCCATTTGACAATGCTTCTCTGCATAGCTCATCTCCTTTGAGGGCAAAGCATCCTAATACAAAAACTGGGTTTCAGCACCATGAGTTTTAATAATAAGAAAAAACGTAGGTCTCAACCTCCTTGCTTCCTTTTGACTACTCGAAACCACATCAAGAGAATTGATGAGTAAGATGGAACATTTATAGTATCTAGTGGCATGAAATTGTCACAACATTTCCAAAGACGACATATTGCTGAAACTAATTATGAAATGAGAAGCCCGATTCAAAGGAGGGTAGAGAAAGAAAGAAGAACCAAGTTAATGCCAATCTAGGATGGCTGGTTGAACTAAGCTAATTGTCACTGTCCAAAGATGAGTATTAGCTTCTTTCAACGGTAATAATCACGGTAGATGCTCTTCAGTATCACTGTCCTTCAACACGAAAACATGCTTTCAGGTAGACTCTTAAAGAATACAACCATGTCTAAATTTTTTAAGAAAATTTGGTTCAACTTCTTTTCTACGAAACTATCAATTTTAACATGCACTAAGTTCGAAGAACATTAAACAGTGAAAAAGGGACACAGGCAAGCAGCTATAACTCTGGGAAAGGATTCATTAACTCTGCTCTCCTTGTTATTCTTAATAGCAAACAAACGAAGAATAATATCCAACTAAAAGGTGAAATTAAATAATGCGAGGTAAATGAGTCATATGGGTACCTCCCAGTCAAGGACTGTGTCTCTAAGCTTTGCTCCACAATTTGCATCAGAACAATGACGTGAAGTCTCCTTCAGTCCTATTGAATCCACTTCAAAGTCTCGGAAGTACCTTCATATGTTAACTAATGCTTCTTAATTGACAATTACATGCAAAAAAGAACAGAAGATACAAAGCTTGCATCTTCGATGTAATAACTAATGCAGACTGCAAAAAGCCTACACAGGATGGAAATTTATTTTGAAGTGAAAAGTTACTATATTTGCAGCGGCCATTTATAGATTCCTTGTCTGTCTACTAAGCTTTGTAGCCTGTAATGCTAATTCAACTAATGTATGCTTCTAAACTTAAATCAAGTCAAGAAAGGTTAGCCCTCCACAGATGGACAAACTCGTGACGTGCAGTCTTATAGTTTCCATACTTTCCTAATTCTCTGATGCCTTGACTGATAGACTTCAATCTGTTGAGCTTCTGCAGGATTTTTCATACTGCAAATAAACACTCAGCACCACTAAGATATTATTTACTAGCTTTTCACAGCAAAATAGAGCTCCTACTCGCACATAGGAGTATCCTATCTTCATGGCTACATTTTTTCAGGGCAATAACGTACTTGATGTGCCAAATAACTACAATTCCGCACTCACAAAAGTAGATGCAGCAACTTTTGACAAAAGGTAATGCGCATAGAAACACAGGCAAAATAGCTCACTGTGAGGACCCAAAGGAACTGGAAAACAACTACTTGCAACCACAGTTGTAATATCACTCACTCAGCTCCACAGGAAGGACAAGTCTCCATGAATGAATTTCCATGCAATTCAGCAAGCTTCTCCCTTGGGATTCCAGACCGAAGGTGGAGACCATCGACATTCTAGAATTTGTGATTCCAAGAGAAGATGGAATTAGGAATCAAAGCTCAGTATGCTCACAAGCTAACGACAGGTATCAGTAAATGAGAATTTCTCGGGATTATGAGATGAATCCCGTATTACTAACGAAACTCCAAAAGACTTGGGACTTGAAATGAGTATCTTAAGGTACCAGTTGTTTCTCAGAACATTAAAAGTAGCTAAAGAAAAGCAACAACTCAAACTAAATGAGTTCTCATAGCCACAGCTATCGAAAAGTATACACTAGTGAAAATATAACCTAGCCTTACCTGACTAATGACATATTTCAAAATGCCAGCCCTCTCAAGTTCAACCAAAGCCATGTGCGTCATGCTTGGTACAGCTCGATGAAATGGAAGTGAAGCTTGAGGCAATGGCTTGCCTTCACGCTGCACTCAACAAATGGAGACGTTTCAACAAAATGAATAAACTGCTGAGTAACAGGAAGCATCTTAATTCTACTGATTGTCATGTCAGACCATGTGCACAGATATCAGATGCTTGAGATCTGGCACCTTGGACAGTTGGACTAGATGAGATCCGCTGATTAAAACTGCTATAATTTTGAGCTTGTTCTTCATAAATGTTTTAGAAGTTCATGGCGCCAAAGGTGGAAGTCGAAATTCTTTTTCCTAGTTTCTGTCTTTTTCCTTCGTTTTGCTAAAATTCCTAGTTACTGTCTACCAAAGAGAATGAACTGCCATTTTAAATGTCCACTTGGATACTGAGTTTTAAAAAACATATTGAAAGGTGAGACGATCTATAGAAAGCACTCACGAGGAAAAATGAAGTGCTTTTAGTCTCTAGTAATGCTTCTTTTCTTTTGTTGCTAAAATGAAAACCCCATTTTGAGATAGTAATGAAGTGTGCTTCTATCCTCCTTTTCTAAGAAGGTAGAATTGAACTTTCACCTTTAAATACAAGATTTACATGTTATAACTACTAATTTTCACCTGGAGTGTCCAAATTCCTTTTGGACCTCGAAAATCAGGTATACCACAAGATGTCGATATTCCTGCACCTGTAAACACCACTAGATGCTTACTCTGCAAGAACAAGAGAATTGAAAAGGATTACTCAAATTGCTAACAAATATGATTATCACTATCTTATTGAGTAAAATTGCAGAATTCGTACCTCTTTTATTGTCATTGCAAGTCTTTCAATCTGCCACAGCAAAACCAGCCAAGAATTAGACTAAAGGAGATTCATGACGATTTAAAGTTGAATTCCTGATGTTCAAAACTCTAAATCAGAAAATTAGTTAGACCTCTATTCTCTAATGGCAGGAAATGCGGAAATGGAAAGCACATTTCCAAACACTAGACTACGGTGAGCTACAATCACAAGGACTAGACATAATGGCATATCTCTCATAAGAAAAGAAAACATGAGCTCGCGAATGTCCATTTCATTAATCGAAATCAGCATAAGTACGTAATATCAACAAGCAACAAAGACAGCCTTTGCTGTTGTCTACTCAAGTTTCTTCACAGCAAATAGCCTTACAGATTCTAGAGCAAAAGCATTCTGATAGTGTCAGTAACTCTAACACAAAAAAATGAATGATATGGTGACAAGTGCTCTGTATGCCTTGGCCCGTTTTACTCGAGCAGAGGCTCTTGCATAAGGCAATACTTTTGTGAGTCAAAATCGCGAAGCACAAAACTACAGATCATGATGCAATCATTGTATACAGAATAAAGTTCCAAGAGCATAACCATCATGGCGGTTTAATATTCCAATTCACCATGTACATTTGCCATCTAAGACCTAAACCACCATCAAAGGATAACTAATTTCCCGCATGCATAGTCATTAGGTCTGACGAGTCAGAACAGCACTCGATCCTACCAAAAACCCTCGCATTGAAACATCATAAGCGGCAAACCCAAAAGACCATTAGGAAACAGAGAGCAATACCATCCGCATGCGCACATGCCATCAGCGATGGCCGAGCCAATCAAAAACTGCATAACGTAGCACATGCGATTGACTAAAAGTTCACGACATTCATTGTACGCAGAGGATCGTCCACGTCGTGGGCATAGATCGTTTTACATAACGGGGCAAAAAGAATACGACCCAGAAGAAGGATTCAGCAGATTATTCATCTAAACGAAGAAGAACGGAAACAAGAAAAGGAAAAGGAAGAACCCACAAGAGAAAAAGCGAGGATTTAGAGAGAAATTTTATTTTCTAACTTTTTCTTGCAAAACGTGGGGTGGGTCGAAGAACTCCCGCATTCCAACTTCGCCGACATCTTCTATGAAGGAGAGCTTCTCGGCGTAGCCCAGAGACATGGCGTTTCTCTCACTATCACCCGCACACACAGCTTCACTGATCTCTCTCCGTTTATGCTTTGCGTGTGCGCGTGCGCGTGCGCGTGTCTGAGACGAGCGAAAGAGAGCCAGAGTTTTGTTGCCAAGGAAGTTGAAAAGGCCTCTCTTTTAATACGCAACAGTGTCCCATAAAGCCCCGTTGCTCTGCTCTCATGTGCATTGTCGAGCTGGACAACCGTGCAGCGCCGATGCCATTGTCTTGCCTTGCTGGTGATTTTGATGGACGATGTACGATACATGCGCAGTCCGTGCCGTGATCGTAGGGTCGGAGGGTGCGGACAAAATCCGGCTCCTACCAAGTTTTTCGGACACTTAAATGAACCAACTTACTCTTTGATCAAAAGAAAAGCATTCGTGAATTATATACGAAACTAAAAATAAAAGAAGAATATTTTGGTGAGACGGCATAGTTTGGTATTGCAATTTCAATCTTAGGCATTATTAAGACGAATGATCTCCAAAAGAAAAACGGTTATCCATAAAAATAGTTAAACAAAACTGTGAAGTTTAATATACGACGAGTTTTGTTATCATTTAATGATGAGCCATTCAATCACTTGTATCTTGTTTGATCAAGTCTATTATATCATATTCTCTCACTTCATCACATTCCAACGGTAAAAAAGAACGAGGTAGCAATACTGTTAATGGTATCGCAGAGACTCCCAATGGAACAACACCTTAAGGGCATTTTTGGCCACTCGAATGTGAGAATGGATTGTATAACAATTACCTTATCCAGAGATTGGTGCTGTTCTTTGGATGTGATACTTGGGTAAGTCTAAATAACAGCCTAGATAGCTTATAGCCTATATAACTAATCTCGGCCTCAGGGTGTGATAGTTTTATCCCACCCAAAAGAGATTAGGAACTAACAAAAAATCGAAGAATGAAAAGCAACTTGATCTTCGACTAAGCGTCGCCTCTGTCAATAACTGCCCTACGGTCGTCGCTCTTTGATGATCACCGTACGGTGTCACATATGTCCGTGACCACCGATATATGAATTCGCCATGAAAATTTGATCTCAAAGAACTCTTAGTCGAGCATATCTAACTTCGTGCAAGCACCATGCCATGTCACCGTCCTCAGGTGACCGCCCGGGGGGAGGGGGGGGGGGGGAGCGCTCCGTGATTGATAGGGCGTGGTCATTCCTCTCATGCTCTTTCTCCCTTTCGTCCATCTTTGCTTAACTTCTTTTCCTTTGGCGTGGTGGCCTGAAATGACCACCACAACAAAGGCAACCACCAACATGGTGGTGCTTCAACACTGGTGACCACTACGGCAGTAGCCAACGGTGGTAGCTCATAGTATTGTTTTTCTTTATCTTATATTCTTTTTTTCGATATCTTTTTGGAGTTTTTTTTATATATATTTTGTATCTTTTCCAATTTTAGTGGTTATTTTATCCTACCAAACAGAATATTAGGTATGAGAAATCTACGAGAACTTGTTGTCCTATCTTATCTGACTTGATATCCCGATGAACAAATACAGCCTTTGTGACGCCCTAGAACGCTACACGCGGCACATGTCTTTTCTGGTTATTACTCATTAATTATTATGCATGCGGAAACACATTAAAGTATTCACTATATTCCAACTTCCTTTCTAGGATGTCCCAGCTTCCTCTTGTTCGAAGACACGACGTAAGAGCAATTAGGGATAGATTTTTGGCCAAAAAGGCTAAATCGGCGAAAGCAAAACAAGCAGAATATTCTCCAATCCTTTCAGATTCTGACTCGGATTCCAATCATGTTGAGCATCAAACTTCACATAAGATGTCGAATCTACTTGAGTGTTTCCTCAGGTGACAAGTTGACCCTACCATCCTCATGGCTGGCGAAGAAAAATCACAAATTGAAAAATCTTTTGGATCTGAAATTGAAAAGAACACAGCAATAACATCTTCTGAAGAAGTTGCTTGTATGAATGCTCCTATAATACAAGAAGCTCCTATTAGCTTCATGATGCAACCAGAAGACGAGGATGTCCTTGAGACTACTATCTTGGATGCAGCTCCATAAAACAAAATTATTGGTGGCCTTACCTTTACACTTGATGATATCCCTTATCACAAATGGCATGGTAGACTGCAAGAGTTTTATGCATAGGTGAATGCAAAGGCAACCGACCCAAATAATGATCAGTTCTACATACTCTTAGAATTTATTGCCAGGTTTATAAGCAGTTTACTAGATTGGTGGCTAATACTTCCTTCATCAGATCAAAACACTTTCCTAGCTCAAGGTTTTGACCAAGTCGTTCGCATAATGCATTCGTTTTTCATAGTAAGTTCCGAAGATCTCCTTGAACAAAAGGGAAAAGAGTTCTTTGAGCGTAAATGCTGTTCTTATAAGAGGAATGATTAAAATCGACACTTCCAAGAGATGATGAAGTTGTATTATGCCCTCGGTGGAGATCCTAACCTTAAGTCAGTCTTCCTAGCATCCATCCCTTCATAGATCTCTAACACGGTGGACAAATACTTCCAAAATCGTAATCGGCGCACTTCAGGTGCCTCTTGCGGAGAAATTCAGAAGGCTATCCATATTGCCTTGATGAATTGTGTCTCTACAAAAAGGCATTCAAAGAATTCATAGAAAACAATCGGATGTTTGATAAGGCCCGCAAGAAATCAGGACTTAAAATGAAATGTGGGCATAAAGATTCTTGTGACTGTTCAACCAAGGAAAATAAACATTTCAGAAAATTTTCCATCCATCATATAAAGAAGGGCAAATGGAAGTTCCTTCGCAAGAGTAAGTGGCGCAACAGTACGAGAGGTGATGGCAAAAGGAAAAAAGATAGATGTTTTATATGTGGGGGAAAAGGACATATTGCAAAAAATTGTTCTAAGGCAAAGAAAATGAGCATGAATCTTGTGGATTCCATTCACCACAGGACTGGAATCTTTATTGAAGAAGATGATCTTGAAGCTCTCTTTTTTAGACACCGGCGATGAGGAATTAGACTCCTCATGTGATGGAAGGTTTTTCTTTGAAGATTCATCTCTATCCCAACCACCAACAACCCGATCAATCCATATGTCCAAGAAAAACCCCCTTTCTTTCAAACCATATGTTCATTTTCAAATCTTCCCATCCAAATATGCTAAACCTATTTCTTAATAGCACTCATGGATACCATTGCAGATTCATCCATTCTTGGCCCTAAGCTTCTCCCTGATGAATATTGGGAACGTCACATCAGATATTTTACCTCTACCTCAAGGAACACATTTGCCACCAAAGTAAAAGCAAACCCATTTGAATCCCACATATGGTTTGAAATCTTCCCACATTGCTCCATTGTCTCCAGAGTTCTCGGTTCACCATCTCCTAACCGAGACTATATCATTGGCTAGGACATTCTGACCTGGCTTCCTAGTCTTAAAATCTTGCCAAATGGTTTGAAATTTTACTCTCACTTTCGAGAGTTTGTGGAAACTAAGAGACTCTATCTCATCCGGCCACAACACTTGGGTCCCATACTTCAACTTCTCTTGGAATCATGTGCTGAAACTCATACAGAATTTCTCATCAAATGTCAGCACCCTTTGTGGAAAAATGAAGACTTCTTCATTAAGTTGCCCTTCAAGAAGAATGGGGATATAAATCCTATCAAAACGAACCACACAGAGATGAACCCTGCAGATCTCCAGCTCACTCGAACGGAATGCGACGACTTAGTCCAACAAGGTCTGATTGAGCCCACAAATTCCCAATGGCAATGCGAAGCTTTTTATGTGGAGAAACGTGTTGAGCAAGTTCGTGGAAAAAAGAGATTGGTTATCAACTACTAGCCTTTAAACTTGTTCTTTCTAGATGACAAGTTTCCTTTGCCTAATAGGAAAGCCCTATTCTCTAGTCTGTCCAATGCAAAGGTCCATTCCAAATTCGACTTGAAGGCAGGATTCTGGCAGCTAGGAATTCATCTGGCTTTTGCATCTCAAGACAACACTTCCGATGGAAAGTCCTTCCCTTTGGACTGAAACAGCTCTTTCGATTTTTCAAGTCATGTGCAGAATTTTCTACCACATTAGTTCAAATTCTTTGATTTACAGAGATGACATCCTATTTTATAGTGAGGATAAGACATCTCACTACAACCTTCTCTCTCAGTTTGTCGACATAGTTAAACAAGATGGCATCATTCTCTCATAGAAGAAGATGAAGGTTGCCCAAACAGAGATAGAATTTTTAGGCATGCAACTCAAAGATGGTGCTTTTCAACCTAGTGACCATATTACAAAGGAACTATTCAAGTTTCCAAATGAAGATCTTTCTCATAAACAAGTCCAGCAATTTCTTGGAATTGTCAATTATTTGAGAGACTTTATTCCCAAGATCACCGGGTATACACATCCTTTGCAGAAAATGTTAAAGAAAGATCCACCTCCTTGGAGATCCTCATAAACCAAAGCAGTTCAGTCACTTAAATAGAAGTTACTGTGACATCCGCAATTTTTTTCGTGGTTTATAATACTCAAGGTATTAAGTTAGTACGAATTATTGAACGAAATGTGACTAGTTTAGTAAAATTGTCAATAGAGACCGATACGCTCCTGAATAAGTATCGAATAATTTTCAATTTTTTAAGATTTTATTGAGTTTAAGTATTCCCATTGTTTTATGCTTTTAATAATAATATTAGTGGACTCGGAATAATTTGGATCAATCGGCATTTCAAACAAAATACGATTTGCTTATCTATTTTCACCTATTATTTACCGTATATTTTTATTAAACCATTTTAATTTAGCTCACGTTGACTTCATGCATGACATATTATTTTTAACCATGGTAACTTTATATCTACCAATAACTCTAGTTAGTATTCTATTATTAATTTTGACTCTAGCTATTAATTAAGGCCTCAATAATGAAAGTGGAAGAGAAGAGATAAGATAGCAACCCTTCCTCTTGAGCGTGAACTTCATCTTCTCCATCTTCAAGCTTCAATTTTCTATTGTACTCTCTTCCAAACCAAACAAAGCTCTAACTCCATTTTCATCCAAGCTTCCAAGATTATCCAATTTGTGTTATTCTAAGTTTTTAATCTCCGACTATCAAGCATCTGACAAGATCGTTGAGGATTTGAATTATTCAAGTCTTTCATTCAAAG